TAGTAGAGACGGGGTTTCACTGTGTTAGCCAGGATGGTCTCGATCTCCTGACCTCGTGATCCACCTGCCTCAGCCTCCCAAAGTGCTGGGATTACTGGTGTGAGCCACTGCGCCCAGCCCCCTTTGTGTATTTTTAAATGGTGGATTTAAAAATACACTGATTATATGGTAGCAGCTTGGTGAGCCTTGCAGTCCCCATAGTTCTCAAATTCTAAATTCTTCCAGAAGTAAACATAAGTGATTTGTTTATGAAAATGGGTTGGTTCTTAAGGCACATTGGAAATAGCAGAAGAGGCCTATTTTGTTTTGTTTTGTTTTTCTTGGTATTAAGGTATTTGTTTGCTGGGATGATTATTAATGCCTTTTCTACCTTTCCTTGTAGGTTCTCGCAACCTTGGGATTAATCTTGCTCACTGCCTACTTTGTGATTCAACCTTTCAGCCCATTAGCACCTGAGCCAGTGCTTTCTGGAGCTCACACTTGGCGCTCACTCATCCATCACATTAGACTGATGTCCTTGCCCATTACGAAGAAGTACATGTCAGAAAACAAGGGAGTTCCTCTGCATGGGGGTGATGAAGACAGACCCTTTCCAGGTAAAATGCAACATTTACTACTTATTAGATACAGTTTTCTTGACAGTATATGATAGGAAAGGAAGTAACATTTATTGATACCTAATGAGAGGCACCCTTCCTATATTGTCTCCTTTAATTCAGTCCCCACTAAAACTCTGTGAGATGGGGTTTATTATCCCCATTTTACAGATTAAGAAACCAAGCTCAGAGAGATTAAGAAACTTGCTAGAGGAACATCTGGTAGAGCCAAATTCACACCCCCAAATTCCAGAACACACGTGATGGGGACGAATGTGTTGCCCATAAAAAGGATTTGATTGTATCTCATCCTTTTCTCTCCTGTGATTCCTGTCCATAATGCATATTTAGTACATAGGTATTGGTTTATTGAAAGCAACTGAGTTCAGCTTGCTTCTAAAGGTCCTCTAACAGTCCTTGGCCTATTGGGCTAGGTTTTTACCTAAGTATATCCCACTCTTTCAGTTTAGTCCTTCTGTCTGTCACAGCTCATTTAATTTAGTGCTCAAAAGTGTATCAATTTTGCCAGTAAATCGAATTTTAAAAACACATAAATTTAGTAACAGTGCATCAGTGGCATAAGAATTCATAGTTTGACAGACTATTTGAGGGGTTTCCTTTTGAGAATAGTGTAACATGTAAAACGAGTCGAAATTTACTTTTTCGGGCTGGATGCGGTGGTTTACAACTATGATCCTAGCAATTTGGGAAGCTAAGGCAAAAGGATTGAGTGAGTCCAGGAGTTTAAGACCAACCTGGGCAACATAGCAAGACCCTGCCTCCAATTGTGTGTGTGTGTGTGTGTGTGTGTGTGTGTGTGAAAAGAAATTTACTTTTTGAGAAAGGGGGATATTATTTTGGGTTTTTTTTTTTTTTTTTGACCGAGTCTCGCTCTGTCACCCAGGCTAGAGTGTAGTGGTGTGATCTCAGCTCACTGCAAGCTCCGCCTCCCGGATTCACGCCATTCTCCTGCCTCAGCCTCCCAAATAGCTGGCACTCCAGGTGCCCACCACCACGCCCGGCTAATTTTTTTGTATTTTTAATAGAGACAGTGTTTCACCGTGTTAGCCAGGATGGTCTTGATCTCCTGACCTCGTGATCTGCCTGTCTTGGCCTACCAAAGTGCTGGGATTATAGCCATGAGCCACCGCGCCCGGCCTATTTTGGGATTTTTTTGGTGATGTTTATCTTATTTGGCAATGTAGAATAATATGTATATTAATATCACAAATGGATTATAGAATTTATTGTGTAACCATGTTCTGAAACTTTTAGAATGTGTCATAACTTTTAGGAAAAATGCTTTCAGAAAAAATGTATTTAAGCTTTATAATCATAATGTCATTCTTTAAGACCTAATCAGTCATAAAAATCATCCCTTGGATTGGGTCTCCATTGAAAGCTATTTTTGTACACTTGAGGAAGTCATGGAAAGGTTTCCAAAATTGTATCAAACTCAGAGGAAGGGAACATTGTAAGACAAGAACTCCACCTCATGAGTTTTTGTTTTTTTAAAAATCAAGAGCTCAGATATTTCATTTGAAAATTCCAGATATAACTTCCTTGAATTTATTGGGAAGGTTGTTTTTGAAATGTCATCAACAGAGCTGAAAAAAAAAAAAATGCAGTCTCAAACTCCTATCAGAACGGTTCAGAGCATTTGGAGGAAACAGCGAGAGAAACTTGTCAGTTGGGCCAGTCTGTGCCTCTTCCTCAGACACACCAGTCTCCTTTCCTGACTGTCTTCTCCCGACAACCTCCCTAACAGCAACTCCTGATGAGTTTTCCCGATCTGGTTCATGGCATTATCTTCTTCCCTGGTCCTGTGAAGTACATCTCCATACACGGTTGAATTGAGAAATGGGGCATCGTCAATGAACACTGCTTGCTCCTTCTCTAAATCATAGTTTAAACATTCCAGAAACATTAGTGTCTTGTCAACAAGCTGGATGATTTGGACCACTTCAAATCAATATTTTGCCTTGCAGATGGAAATAAAACAAGTCCTTGGAGCTCAGTTGCAGAGAGAGCGAGTGAGCATTGGAAGGGTGTGGCTTTAGCTCTTTAATGTTGTTGATTCTATTAAAGTGCTGTTTTTACTTGTAAATGTGGACGTGGAAGCACCATATTTTCCTATGTATGATAATTCTGGGAAGTTGTAGACATGTGAAACTAACAGCATTTTGCATAGCATTTGGAAGAAAAGTTAAAAATGCATAATTATATGAAGGGTCAACAGAAACACATGAGGGAGAATTAAGTGCAACTTAATCTGGGCCTGTAAGAGGGCAGGAAAAGTAAAAATAGATCATTTTTAATGTCCTGGTGTCAGAAAACAACTACCTTCAAGTTAGGATTACTTAGCTGTACTTTTAAAGTAAATGCAAGGGGAGAATGGTGTGGCAGATTCCCCAAAGGAAACCCCATATGGTTTCCTGAAGTGCTGGCCTGTCTCACCCTCCCAGGGTCATCTGGTGCTCCTTGCAGTGGCACCTCAGGAATGATGGAGGGCAGCTGCAGCCTTGGTGATATATAAGAGGCACCACCACCAGTGACTAGAAGTTTCCCCCGACCCCACCCAGGGAACAAAAAGGTGACAGAAGTGGGGTTCTTTTTCTAGATTTCAGTCTTAGATAGGAAATCCTGCTCCTAAATGCTCTCAATAAGAAGAATGAAGTGACTTCGTAGCGAGTCATGGAAACATCCCACTCTGCAGCAAAAAATAAGTGAATAAACTGATACTTGTTTATTACTTACCAGATGCCAGACCCTGTTCAGGGGACTTTCCATATATCAGCTTATTTAATCTTGACAACATCCCTATAGGGTAGCTTCAGGTTTTATGCCCATTTTACAGATGAGGACACTGAGGCACAGTACGGTTAGGTCACTTGCTCAAGGTCCCAAGTCTAGTCATGGAGCCATGATTTGAACCCAGGCAGCCAGTCTTCAGAGTCTGAGCCGTTCACCTCTGATGTGAGTAGTCTGTAGCCATGCGGTAGACCTGAAGAGTCTAGCTTTAAGTCTGATGTTGGAGTTCTACACTCTCTCTCTCTCTCAGATCATCAGTTACTTTCTCTTAACTCCCTAGTCCCTGAAGAGACAGTATTCTTTCTGGCTGTTCCAAAGATAAGTGGTCTTTCAAGCTATAGACCCTTTAGAATTTTCCTGACCTGGTCTTGTCTTAGACATTCAGTCCAGCTCATCCTCCTAGTCTGCACCCTTATGGATAATATTTGACTAACTTAATCCTTCCTCTTACCCAGAGTTTTCTCTTTACATTCACATTCTTAGTTTTTTTCTCCCCTCCTGGACTCATATCTTTATAGTCCCTTTACTCCTGCCAACCATCCCCTTGGTTTTTACCATTTCCATGGAATCATTGAGTCTTAAAGCTGAAAAAGAATTTTAGATTTAATCTGGTACATACCCCATTTTATAAAAGAGGTAACTGAGGCCAGGAGAGGTAAAAGAGCTTGCTTACCCAGCTAAAAGTGACAAAATCACACTTGAACCCTAGTTTCTTAACCCCCTCTAGCATTCTGTCCACGATACCACACTTACTGCCTGCCATCTCTGCCCTCAGTCAAGCCAAGCACCAGCATGTTCGGCCAATTATTTTGTTTACTTTGGTCATTTTCTGGCCAATTTAAAAATAACACATTCATTTTTACTGAGGAAGCCTGGGATAGTTCTCACATACAGTGAAAAGGCACACATTTGGAACTTGATGCATCCAGTGACCTTCAAAGGAAGGATGAAGTAGATCCAGCAACATCAAGAAGTTTTGGAAATAACAGATCATTTATTGGCCTCAAACTAAGAACCTGGTGAGACTTAGAGAGTCCAGACCTGTGCTCAAAGATGAACTGCTTAGACCTCAAGGAAAACCTTACTCTTTTGTTTGCAAAATAAGCTTACCTTCTGTGATAATAATGGCTCTGTCAAGCACTTACTGTATACCAGGTACTGTGCCGTGTACTTTATATGTATTTCTCAGTCTTCATAGCAGTCACATAAGGTAGATACTGTTTTTATGTTCATTTCAAAGATGAGGAAACTAATGTGCAAGGGGATTGGCTGACTTATCTAAAGTCTTACATTTGTTCATTTATTTTTAATTTTTTCCTTTGCTGTGTTTTTGATAATAAATTTTCACATTTAGAAACAAATTTTTGTACAAGTGAGAACTCATGAAAATAGACTCTGTCTATGGTTTGGAGTGGTTCAAATGCATTGCTTCCTGGAGGCAAGGCTGTTGGTGAAATGATTTCTTGGGCTCTTTCCCTCTCTGCAGTGTGTGAAAATGGCTCTGGGCATGGTGCCACACATGCAGGGACCTGGCAAAAGCCTCCTTCACTGTCAAGGCTTCACCCCTGCCTCATGCCCAGGGTGCTAGAAGAGGTGCTATGCAAAAACAAGCTTCCGGAGAACCGCCTGATTAAATACTGAGGACACACTAGTTAACGTCATGGGAACTTGGTCATGGGCTTTGCAGCTTTTTCTTGGGTGCATTTATAATGTAAGAAATCATGAGGTTATATTTATTTAATCTTTATTTTGAGGTTTCTGTGAATCCAGATTGCTCATTTGATTTTTCTCCCCATGGACTTGATTCTATTGTTAAAACTTCTGAAAAATCAGCCTTCCTACCTGCCTTCCTGCCTTCCTCCCTCCTTCTCTTCCTCCTTCCATCCCTTCTTCCCTCTCCCCAACTTCATTCACTCATTCAATAAATGTTTATTGAGACCTTGCTCTATATGCCAGGCACTGTTCTCAACAAAGCGGTGAACAAAACAGACAGAAAATCTGTTTCTTACAAAAATCTGTATCTGAAAATCTGTATCTTGTATTCTGTCACCTTACTAAATTCTCTTTTTAGTACTAACAGTTTTTTACTTGTGTTCTTAGACCCTCAAGGAACACCACCTCCAAGTTTTTCTTTCAGTTTGCTATTCCTACTTTCTTTTTCTTTCTTGATTTCCCTTTACTGGGTTTTCTTCTACCTGCTTTTTAAAGGCATCTCCACCTGGAAATCCCAAGAATATCTCAAGCTCAGAATAAAATTAAAATTAAATAAATTAGGCTGGACTGGGCGCAGTGGCTCACGCCTGTAATCCCAGCACTTTGGGAGGCTGAGGTTGGTGGATCATCTGAGGTCAGGAGTTTGAGACCAGCCTGGCCAACATGGTGAAACCCCGTCTCTACTAAAAATACAAAAATGAGCCGGGCTTGGTGGCAGGCACCCATAATCCCAGCTACTTGGGAGGCTGAGGCAGGAGAATCGCTTGACCCCAGGAGGCGGAGGTTGCAGTGAGCAGAGATCGTGCCACTGCACTCCAGCCTGGGTGACAGAGCGAGACTCTATCTCAAAAATAAATAAATAATAAGTTGTAGTTAAAATAATTATCCTAACTCTTAGGTTAAGAGCTGTTCACTGCTAGCCCATGCAGCACCTTTGTACAAATTTGAGGAAGGTGCCCCTTTCTCCTGGTGCCTTACTCTCATCTCCTGGGAAGATTGTCATAATTAACTGATTCTGTTGGAATATGACACACTACTACAGAAAAGTGTCATAATAAATCTGGAGATGACGTTCCCTAGATGAGCACTAGACATGGGCGATAGCAGAGATCTGCAGGTTTATGATGACACTGACCAAGAGGACAGCGTAGTGCAGACATTCACAGTAGTGCTGCTTGGGGCTGTAGGTTTCATCCTCACTGCTTCTAGAATCCACCCCTTTTTTCCATTCTCACTGCCTCATTCATTATATTTCACTTCTCATCACAGTGGAACCCCCCCCCCTTTTCCCTAAAAACGGGCAAAACTAAAATATAACCAGGTCTTTCTTTTCCCAGCCTCTCTCTTCTAGGGCACCCTAATCACAATCCAGAATAATCTTCCTAGAACATGGAGAAATTCCTGCTCATAAGCCTCCAACAGTTCCTCTTTTTGTTCTGAGTGGAGTCAGACATGCTTCAAGCCCTGGAAGCCCTCACCACATCTCCCTCTGCAGCCTGTTTCCTTACCCAAACCCCCACTGCACGCCCAGCATCTCCTGTGTTCTTCCTGCCACACTCTGGCACCTCGGGAACTTCCTATCACCTCTGACTTTCAGTTTGTTCATCCACAGAATGAGAATAGTGATTCCTACTCAGTAATTACACAGTGAAAATTAAATGCTATAACATGGGAAAGTGATTACCATAGGGCAAGCACTCAGTGCGTTAGCTTTCTTTCTCCTTCCCCTTCCGTTGCAAGTACTTTGGAAACTGAAATGCTATATAATTGCAACATGTTGTTATGATTATGCCTCATGGTGTGTCCGTTACCCAGAATTTTTGCATATTGGCAAGAATTTATTGTATTTGACCCTGAATAGGAAACATTTGAAAATATTAGAGAAGAAAAATGCAACTTTGCAGCCTCAGTGTGCCACTGAAACACGTGGCACTAAAGGGTTGTCAGCTACCCCCGGAGCACTGTGGGAGGAGAGGTGCCCTCCCAGGAGCAGACTGTATCAGTAATCCTCTGGCTAATAATCTTCCTGCAGGTTGAGACTGGCTGAGAAAGGTAGGTGGCAGTTGCCTCCCGGAAACACAGATACTATCTGCAAGAGATGGAGGATGCTCAGGAGACCGGCCAAGAACAAACACGGTCCTTGCCTGACAAGGATTTCCTATGCCCCACTACTACTGCCTCAGAGAAAACAAGGATAAAGCGCTTACTGCCAACCACAGAAAATGTTTTGTGGTTAAGAGTCAGTTTCCAAGTATGTTTATTGGTTTAAAACCTTGACTTCGTTTCAGCCACATTTGGTTGTCTGTTATCATTTGTCGTAGGCTCTCTCCTGATTTGGTTTCCATTGGGTTTTAATCAGAACCATCTTCTGAAACATTTTAGATTCAAAGCAGAGTTTAAAACAAACACATCTCTCAGAGAACACAGATGAAATCCAAAATGGAACAGAAAGTAAACAAGAAATAATGAAATAACATTATAAACAGCATGGCAACAGAGGGAAGCTGGGAAAGGCTGTGCAGAAACAAGAGCCCCTCAGAGAAGGAGCCAAACCAGACAGGCGTGTCAGGGAGCCGCTGTCACTCACAGCAGGGTCTGAGTTGGGAGTCTTCCATTTCTGACCAGCATGTGGGGCTGGAAACTATGGCCGGCGGTCCCACCCTGTCCTGAGCTGGTATAGAGGGCTGTCTTATGGACAGATGCAATTCACTTTATTCCAAAGATGGCTCCAGAAAAGTCCTGTCTACCCTCTCCATCCCTTCCCTCTTCTATGCCCTTTTCTCACTCTTCCTTCCCAGAGTCCTGGCTCCCATGTGTACTTGTGAACCAAGGGTCTAGGCACATATCCAGCATGTGTGAGAAGTGCATTAGGGCACAGCGATGATGGGGTCACCCTTCTATCCACACCAGCCCCCCTGTGCTGTAGACATTTCGGCCCTATGGGTCATAGGTTAGAAAATGTTGGGAGAACTACATTTTTAGCTCCACGCTGCTGAAAGTTTTCCTAGCTGTTACGCTTTATTTGTTGATTTGATTTAGGAAATGCATGTACAGGTTAAAAGATATTTTCCACAAAGTGTAAAAAGGTATACAGAGAAGAGTACCTCTCCTTCCTGCCCCTTTCCTCTACTCCCTCCTCAGAGGCTGCTTCATGTGGACCTTACCTTTTCGGCGGTCTCCAGGGCTTATCATTGTGTGTTTTAAAAATTATTATGGGCTGGATGCGGTGGCTTGCGCCTGTAATCCCAGCACTTTGGGAGGCCGACGTTTGGGCAGATCACTTGAGCCCAAGAATTCAGACCAGCCTGGGCAACAGGGCAAGACTCCGCTCTAACTAAAAATACAAAAATTAGCCAGGTGTGATGGCATGCATCTGTAGTTCCAGCTACTCGGAAGGCTGTGGCAGTAAAATCTCTTGAACCCAGGAGGCAGGGGTTACAGTGAGCTGGACAGTGCCACTGCACTCCAGCCTGGGTGACAGAGTGAGACTCTGTCTCAAAATAAATAAATAAATAAATAAAAGTCATTCTGATGTCTTTCCTTTCTTGTTTCGTAGCTGGAGCTACTGGATGTACCAGCTGTGCTCTTTCAGTATCTGCTTTCTGCTCTTTCAGTATCTGCTTTCTCCATATCCCTTCCTCTCTCAGACTTTGACCCCTGGTGGACAACGGACTGTGAGCAGAATGAGTCAGAGCCCATTCCTGCCAACTGCACTGGCTGTGCCCAAAAACCCCTGAAGGTGATGCTCCTGGAAGATGCCCCAAGGAAATTTGAGGGGCTCCATCCACTGGTGATCAAGGTGAGCAGAAGCCTGAGTCTCCCACTGATTGGCTGCTTGCTTAAAGGCTAGGTCAAGCTCTAGGAAATTTCTGACAAATAACTCTGTGTTGTTTTGTTTTACTTTGTTTCCTGCCTTGCCAAGACGGGAAAGCCCCTGTCGTCGGAGGAGATTCAGCATTTTTTGTGCCAGTACCCTGAGGTGATAGAAGACTTCACTGAAGGGTTTTTCGCCAAGTGGTGGCGCTGCTTTCCTGAACGGTGGTTCCCATTTCCTTATCCATGGTGAGTGTGAAAAGGGCCGGGCATGGTGGCTCACGCCTGTGATCCCAGCACTTTGGGAGGCCAAGGCAGGCAGATCACTTGAGCCTAGGAGTTGGAGACCAGCCTGGCCAACATGGCAAAACCCCATCTCTACTAAAAATACAAAAATTAGCCACGTGTGGTGGTGCGTGCCTGTAATCCTAGCTACTCTAGAGGCTGAGGCACGAGAATCACTTGAACCTGGGAGGCAGAGGTTGCTGTGAGCTGAGATCGCGCTGTTGCACTCCAGCTTGGGTAACAGAATGAGGCTGTGTCTCAGAAAAAAATGGGTGGGGGGTGGGCTATAGGGGCACTTAGCTTGTGAGTAGGAAAGGGGCAGACCAGAAATACTCGCAAAACAGTAATAGCTATCACTGAGCCACTACCACAGGCCCAGCATTTTACAAATCCAATGCTGGGATCCCACTGATAAACCAATGATGAGAGAGAAAGGGGATGGATGAAGAAGTGTGTCAGAAGGAGGGGCGCCACCAGCGGGAGACAGCAAGTTTGTCTAATAGAGTCATAATTTATTTGTAAGTATGCGTTTAGCATTATATGTAGAATGTGGCCTCATGTAGGGGGCTGAAGAGAGAGTGCAAATATTAGGAGGAGAATTGCATTTTTTGGCGCTTGTTTCTGCCAGGCAGTGTGCGTTGGTGCTTAGTGTCTGTGGCTCACTGGACACACTGATAATAACTCTGGAAAGTAGGAATGATTGTTGTCATTTTTCAGATCAGACAAGTGGGAATCAGTAGCCAGGCGTGGTGGCTCATGCCTATAATCCCAACACTTTGGGAGTCTGAGGCGGGTAGATTACTTGGGCCCAGGAGTTCGAGACCAGCCTGGGCAACATAGGGAGACCCCATCTCTACAAAAAATATCCAAGCTATTTGGAAGGCTGAGTTGGGAGGATGGCTTGAGCCTGGGAGGTTAAGGCTGCAGTGAACCATGATCACACCACTGCCCTCCAGCCTAGGCGACAAAGTGAGACCCTGTCTCAAAAAAAAAAGGAAGGGGGAGAAAGAAAGAAAAATGGGAAGCAGAGAGGTTAAGTAACTTGCCTAAGGTTACCCAGCCACGATTGAAACCCCAGTTTGTCCTGCTGTTCCTTCCTGTGCCCAGCGGAAGACATGGTTCATTCCTTGTGGTTAAAGTTGCTGCCTAGTAAGAAAAGAAAGCCAGTTTCCATCTTAGAACTGTTCCAAAATACTTAAAATGGCTTTTTCAGGCTTTTTGTTAATGTCTTAATGCTTCTATCTTTCTTTAAATGTGCTGTTAGTTTGCGTGCTAGAGTGCCCAGTTGAACAAGCTGAGCAGGCTTCCCCTGCGTCTCCCTCTGCCTCAGAAGAAGGGTCATGCTTTTTGTCCCTTCCTCCTTCTCTCTTCTTCCCTTCCCCCTCCTGGCCTGCTGTTACTTCAGTCTTCTCCAAGATAGAATGAATAGATTGTTTCTTTCCTTCCTCTATATATTGTTTTAGCTGCAGTTTAGAAACACTCCACCCACATGTTCAAATCATGGCTGTAGAGTTAATGCCTGTTTGTGTCCACGTTATACTTCATTGACTCTGTGCAACTATTCTTCAGGGACCTAATACTTAAGATACTGTACTCATATTTTTCCCTCTTTACCCACCGCCCACGGTTTTCCCACCCTTACTTGGCTCTCTCTTAGTCATGGACTGGCTTGACCAGTTTAATTACTTTTTTTCTATTTCAAACTTCTGTAGGACAAGACCTCTGAACAGATCACAAATGTTACGTGAGCTTTTTCCTGTTTTCACTCACCTGCCATTTCCAAAAGATGCCTCTTTAAACAAGTGCTTCCGTCTTCACCCGGAACCTGTTGTGGGGAGTAAGGTAGGAAATTTTGAGAGGACTTGGATCTAGAATTTTCTTTACTTGGGATCTGGACTGATGTCATAACCAAGGCCTTCCCTGCATATTGGCTTAGAGGGTGAATTGAGGGGACGCCCACACAGTCTAGTTCTCCCCTCCTGCTGCTAGCCAGGAGACTTGCAGGGGCACACCTTGTCATGAAGGCAGGTTTCCAGAAAGTCTAGTTACCTTGCAAATCTGCCTCCTGCGCTTAACACCTAAGGCAAGCTACTTTTCTATATTAAAAGAAGTAAATTCTTAAAATTTGAAGGACTTCAGTGTACAATTAATCTGGCTTTCCTACCTTAAATTCCTACCTTAAATTAGAAAGTCGGCAAGCAGCCATGAATGGTGGTTGCTCACGCCTGTAATCCAGCACTTGGCGGGGCTGAGGCAAGAGGATTGCTTGAGCCTAGGAGTTTCAGACCAGCCTGGGCAATATAGCAAGACCCTGTCCCTATTTTTTTTTAAAAGAAAAGAAAGCTATAAAGGAATAGCTTTACTTCTTCATTTTGAAGAATAGAATAACTTCTTCATTTTGTAGATAAGGAAACTGAGCCCCAGAGAGATTAAGTGAGTTGCCCAAGGACATACCCTTTACCCTCTAACCCCCAAGGTGGTTTTTGCCAGAAATAAACAATTAAGAGATTTCAGGTAGAGAACTTGAAAGGCAAAAAGTGTGGGAGCCTGGGAAAGATTTGATAGGCAGGCAGCCCAGCTGGGGTGGAAAAGCCCACTCTGCCCCCATCATTTCCCACTTCAGTCTGGGGCCAAGTGCTCAGAGCCAAAGTTGCCTCTCTGGGGCCAGTGGACTGGGAGAAGCTGTTCTGCATTTGTGTCTGTTTACTTTTCTCTGAATTGCTCCTTTTGTTAAGTCTCATTCGTAAGGAAGGTTTTTGAGCCTGGATTGGTTTGGGAGAATTAAAAGCATGCATTTTCCTTGGTAAAAAAAAAAAAAAAAAATTTCCCAAACTGTGGCCCCCTACCAACTCTGGACCGTGGCTTCCACCTCCTCATACTATTGCTTGGCTCCAAATTTGCTGAATTGTGTTAAAGGAATTTAAAAGTCTATAAAAACAATCATTTTGTCTAGAAGTAAGAAGTTCTGTCTGCCAGCACTGGGGTGGAGATGCTGGGCTCTTGCCTCAGATTTTAAAGAAGTTTATCCTGCTGTCGCCGGCTAGAATTCCATGCCCTTGTATGATTTCATCTTCATAAATATAATTCTGGGACACGGCCTTTATCTTTCTCTTGGTTTTACCACTTGAATACCAGAGTTAATTTCTTCAGCCTGCGCAACACCAAGGAGCCCAGCCAAAGGAGTAAATACAGAGTTACTCAAATGCTTACCAAAGTCATACTGTGGTTCTCGAGGATGTTTTGGGAAGGGCAGTGACCAAACAGGCAAAACTCCTGAGAGCCTGATTTCTTAGAGAATCTGTTTCCCCACCCTGGCCCAAGCTCTCCTTTCCCTGCAGCCTTGTAACCCCACCCTGTTGTCCACATCCCTGGGCCCTGTTAAAGTCACGTGTCTGTGGGCCCAGTATCCAAAGGCAGCCTTAAGACAGAAGTGGGAAGCTGGTTGTTAAGTGGCACTCGGGGAGATGGTGAGGGGCTCCAAGGCCCACTTCACCCACTCCACAGTGTGGCCTAGGGCTGGCCTGTGCCGCCCTGTTGTCTGTTTCTTCCCATCCTGAGAATGGATGACTATGACCCTACCCGCTTCAGGCCTGTGTGAAGAAGGATACAGCCACTTGTTTTGGTCCTTCTGAGATTGTTGTGAGGACTACAGATGGTAAGGCTTCCGCCAATGTGAGTGCCAGTCAACTGCAGGCTGGCGGAAGACCAGGCTTGTCCCTGTCACCACATTAGCAGGTGAAATGGTTCTAGTGTTGCCATGAAAACATTATGGGCAAGGCCTGTGGCAGCAGCAGAGAGACCAGGGCTGGGGACAGGGGAAGACGGGGCCAAAATCCAAGACTCTGGAGGCCATGAATGGTGAAGAGAAAAACCAAGACATGGCCCAGGGAGTCAGACTTCTGGCTCCCACTTTATATGGGCGTATAAAGGGTTTCTCTGAAGGGCAGGAGATAGGAGGAAGAGATGAGAGAAGAGACCCTAGGGGTTTTCTGTCATCATCAAGGTAAGGAGAAATGTCCCAGCAAGACCCGTCTCTTTATCCCTATTCCCTGCCCTGGTCCCAGCCCCATCCCCAGGGTTCACAGCTCCTTCCCTGGCACATAGCAGGTTGCATTTAATGCCCGTTGCCGGCAGTAGCATGCCCTCAGAGGGGCAGTAGTTACCTGTGCAGGTGCATATGCTGGTTGTCTCCTTAGTTTTCAGAATCAGAGGCCAGTCTTAGTGTCATTAGTTTTTAATCAGTAGCATGGCCTGCCTGCTCCCCTGGGTCTTGCCAGGCAATATAAACTTAAACTTCCTGCTGTGCAATACTTATCAGAGCCCTGGTAGTAAGAAGTAACATTCCATGGAAGAGTGCCGAACGGATGTCCCGATTATCTATTTATCTAAAAAGTTTTCATCAAACCCAGAATCTCTGAATGTTGTATACTTCAGCCACCATTTGTTGGTTTCTGCTAGAACTACCTTGGTTAAATTGCAATTAGGTATTTTCCTTTGGCTTACTTTGAAGCTGTGGCTAAAACTAGTTGCAAATTATGAAGCTCATGCAGGATCTGCTCTGGGGCTCTCGCTGAGGGGATTGCCCACTAAATCACACAGTGCCTCTTTAGGAGACCCATGGAAGAGATTGTACTCTGGTCTTAGTGCCAAGAGATGCCATTCTTAGGAGAAGTAGTTTGTTTTTGTCTTTTGGACATAATTGCAAATTTTTGTTATTGGTTCTATTTCCTCTTTGCTCAGGCTAGAAAACTCAGAGCCATATGTGAAAGCATTTTTATTTACTAAAGCCCCTGGTTTTATTTTGTTTTCTTTGCCTTCCTTTTCCTCCCCTCCTCGTTCTTTCCTCCAGATGCATGAGATGCGTGACCTATTTATCATGGGCAGCGGCGAGGCCATGTTGCAGCTTATCCCTCCCTTCCAGTGCCGAAAACATTGTCAGTCTGTGGCCATGCCAATAGAGCCGGGAGATATCGGTATGTAGGGCCCCAGGAGGGCAGGGTCAGCCATGAATCTTTTTAGTTTTTAATTCAAAAGCTATTTTAAGAATCGTGTACTGCCTTCACAGAAGTTTTATTTAGTAGAATCAAAAATAACATTCTCCTATTAACAGGCTCAACATTTATGCTTAGAAATGAAACAACTTAATGAGAAAACATAGCAGAAAGAAATGTCTTGTACGTACAACATATAGAATGCATGTGTCTGTTGACCATAGAAACTTCAAGTTAGGAAGGATTCTGGAAAGTATTTAGACCAATCCCTCGTTTTATAGATGAAAAGGTTGAGACCCAGAGAGGAGAGGTGACCACCCCAAGGCCCCACTATCTGTTGAGCAGAGCATCAGGTCTTAAGTGCCTGCTTGGACACAGTCAAGCCAGGAGAGGGACAATCCAGGACTACAGGAATATACACCCATGTTGCAAATAAACCAATACCAAGCAGTATATAAGGGCAATGGTCACACAAGGAAATATTACCTTCTGTGTGGCTGCCACAGCCAAGTCACAGCCTCACATTGATGACTCACCCTTGGCCCTGGCTCAGTGTTTTCCCAAATGTGACTTGTCCTGTGCCTTATATCCTAAAAATCTTTTCCAAAGAAACAGGTTTGAATCCACTGCTGTCAGTAGCAATCAGTTTGACAGCCGAGTTTTCTTGGAAGAAACAAATAAATCAGCAAGTGTCACCATTGACCTCCTTGCTTTTCCTGCCTCACAAAACCTAGGCAAGACCTGGAGTCTCTGGCAGAGCCCAGACTGGGTTTTCCAATTGATTTCTTTAATTTTACCCATTCAGAAGACCCCCAAATCCCTAGAAACCTTGCATCTTATATGAGGGTAGGAATTGGACTGCAAGCTATGCCAAGTTTTAATTTAAATTACATAACTTTTATTTCAATTTAGAAATGAAAAATAAAAATAATGTGCAAATCAAGCATTAACTAATAATGGAGCACAGCTGGCCTGGCTCTTGGGAAACTTCCTACAAAAAGGAGGCTTCTTGTATGGAAATTGTTCTGAACCTTTTTCCTGTAATGGAGTGACTCTTAACACAAGAGATGACTATTGCGAAAATCTCTCTGGCATATTTAGGTTTGGAGCATGTGGTTGTGCTTGAACAAGTTTCTGTCTTATATTTTACAAATGCCTAACAATTCAGACAACTACAGAAACACCTTAGTTATCTGAATTCAGACTTCCGGCTCCCACAAGCAACCGGAATACCAATTACAGAATTAGGGGAAAAAAAAAGAAATGTCTGGCAGTAATCAAGAAAGCTTGAGCATCAAATGCTGGTGCAGATAGTCCAGATTAGCCTAACATCCCAGTGCGTGATACCTGCTGTGCTGTGCCTGACTGGTTTGTTGACTAGAAAGAAAGGATCCCTGTAGTTGGCAGTGTCTATAAAAGGCCAGTCACATGACAGAACACAGAGAGGGATGGTGACTGAAGAGAAGAAGAATAGGAGAGCAAGCCCGGGAGAAGAATGGGGGCAGGGAGGGGTGGGGAAGCCAGCGAGCACCTGAAGCAGTGACAGAAATGGACGTGATGACTGTAGCTGCCACGGTTAACAATAAGGACAGGAAAGCAGACCCTGGCCTAGAAGAATCATTTAGTGTTGCAGGACAGACAGCGGTTCCTCTACCTTAGGGACCCTTAAGAATGGCACCACAACATGCAAGTTCTATGATTTTTGATAAAACATACATTGTTCTGTGGAGATGGAGGAAAGAGGGGTTCCAGATCACCAGAAAACCTTTCGGGGGTCAGGTACAATATCTGCAGTCACTGTACAGGACAGTCATTGCTCATCATGACCCTTCCGGAGTCGCCAAGTAAAAGTTGAATTCTACTCAGTGCTCTTCGTTTAAAGATGAGCAGGGCCCATAGTACTCTAGAACCTGTTTTCTTTGGAATATCTTACAGGACTCCACTGTTTGCTGAACCCAATTTGGGCAATGCTGGTTTAGGTTTAGGTTAATCTGGATGTTGTGTAATGAAACTGCATTATAGAAAGACACAGGAAAATTGGCTAGTAGGTCTTATGTCCCCTCAGAATCCATTCTGTCTTCTTGCTGTAAAAGCTGAGACTTGATGCCCAACACCAGCCTCATGTAGAGCATCCTGCCTTTGTAAGCCTGCTGAATTGTGATTCATAGTTCCCTGGGTGAGGGGCGGTGATAAAACATTTAAAGAGGACTGATAATAACTAGGAAGTGCCAAAAGACTTTCAGAGCAATTTGTCTTTAAGCCAGGAGTGGTGGCCCACACCTGTAATCCCAGCACTCTGGGAGTGAGAGGCAGGAGGATCACTTGAGCCCAGGAGTTCAAGACCAGCCTGGGTAATATAGTGAGACCCCATCTCTTAAAAAAAAAAAAGAAAGAAAAAGAAAAAAAGAAACTAAATTAAATAGAAAAAGATTTGTCTTTGACTCTGCAGTGCACCCTGAGGGCCAGCTCTGGCAGACCCGCCTTGCTCTGCCCACAGGTGTGTCCACCCGCTAACATTTACATGTTTTCCTCTTGCTATTTCCCCTCAAGGCTATGCCAGCAGCACTCACTGGAAGGTCTACATTATAGCCAGAGGGGTCCAGCCTTTGGTCATCTGCGATGGAACCACTTTCTCAGAACTGTAGGAAATAGAACTGTGCACAGGAACAGCTTCCAGAGCCGAAAACCAGGTTGAAAGGGGAAAAATAAAAAACTATGAAACTGCTTTCCAGGGGTTGGTTACTTAGTTACCTGCCCTTTGCATGCATGTGTGAACCAGCTGTGAGCTGCAAGGCAGTGGCCAGGGCCTAGCCCTCCTGACTCTTCCTGCAGATGGCTCAGGAAGGATTCAGCCTGGCCACTTGGCTAGGACTCTGCCAGCACCCATCTGAGACTGACCTCTTCCGGGCCTTTGGGCACTAAGACCTTGATGCTGCCCCTTAGGCAGGAAACAGGGCTGGTGCCTGCCTTCGCCTGTATTGCCAGCTTCCTTCCCTGGCAGTGGAGAGGGCAGCCAACAGGTTCTGATGTCAGAGCCATCCTTTACCAGGTGGGCCTGCTTGTCCCCATCTTCCTGGCCACATCACTCTACTTTTTGGAAAGCCATGGCTGATTAAAGAAGTTCTTGTAGTTTCCCAAACGAAATGGAATCTAGAAGCAGTGAAAAAAGGTCAGATAACTTTGAATTGCATTCAAGAAGTACACTTCTTTCCCATTGTCCGTGGCACTTGGAGTCTCTATAATGCCAGGCTAGAGTCTGATCATATAATAATTCAAAGTGGTAACTCCCAAGGTAACGCTTTCTTCCATTTCATCAGGTTCTTATATCCCCACTGCACTCCCTCCCCTTCTCCCTTGCCTGTCTGAATGGCTTCTTGGAAGCTTGGCTCTAGTCCTCCCTGCCTTGGCAGGGCCAGAGCCCACTACTGCTGAGGCAGCACTGCTCTTGTCAGCTGTGTTGCCTTTACCAAGTGTCTTCAGAGGGTTATGAGTTAGAGTAGCTGGCCGGGGGAGAGGGTGCCTCCCTGGGTTTGATCTTTAGGGTCTGACTTTCTGCAGAGAAGATGTTTTACAGATGTGTCAAAGCTGATGTTGTAATGTGGTTGGGGGAGGAAATCCAGACCCAAAGTGTTTGTCAGCTGGGTGTACAAATGACTGTGTGATCCTCTGTCTTAAAATGATTTCTGTCTGTGCTGGGAAACAAAAACAAGGTGAGGTATTTTTCTTTTTTGTAGTAATATAAAGCTGTGTGTTTCTGATTGGATGATTCACTATGTGCATTGTTTTCTCCCAAGTGCTTTCGGTATATAGCAATCAAATGGTGTAAATAAGGATGTTCTTTTCCTGTTCCTTTTTTTTTTTCTCTATTATTCTTTTATTGACACCGCTAGATACCTGGCCATTGGTCATGCCAATGCCAGGATGAAGAAAAAGCAATCTACACTTTGGCCTCTGGTTCTGAATTGCAGAAATCAAATGGATACATTACGTGTCGATGTCAGAATTATGGATCAGAGGCAGACAGTGATGAGTGAAGATGGTTGTGAAGCCCTCTTCATTCCTGGAGGAGCCTGCATCTCATCTCCAGGCCCTCTTTCTCTGGGGGTCTCATGCCCAGCAGTGAGGAGCACTGAGCACTTGAATGGCCTGTTTGTCTGCGGGCTTACAGAGGACAAGCAGAGTTCACAGAGCTCAGGGTGGAAACATCAGAGCCTCCTCCGCGGGCTTCAGTGAAACTAGGATGAACTGTACCTGAGGGAATTTTTTCTTAATCAACCCCTTGTGTGGATGAATACAGGAAAAACAAAACTTGTGTACATATAAAAGTCATGCTGTGAAGCAGCTATGATTTAAGAGGTTTTAAGTCAGAGGGATCATGTAGAGGCCGGCTTTGCGTAAGCTTTTACAGCCTTCTGCAGTGTCCTTACCCTGGCCGCACATGGGGAAGGGCTGTATGTAAACAAGTGCTTTAGAGGCCTCTGAGAGTTTTTAAAAATTAGACCCGTTAACAAAAAAGAGGGTTTCTTAGGAACAAAGCAACTATTTTGATTATTGAGATCTCTGTTTTGTTTCTGTGAGTTACTCTGTGTTCCTTTCCGCATTTCACTCCTGCCCTTCACATCTTAAATGTCCATAAAATACCCACTTCAGCTCAAAACTTTGAAAACGAAGAAACCCTTGCATGTGTTGATATTCTGAGGCATCCCCTGGGAAAGTCTCCTAAGCCCCATTTTGTACTTCAACAAAAAAATGACTGTAGCTGAAGAAAAGTAGAGACTTTCATGCATACGCTACTCATTTTACTTACAATCTACCCAGTTCAGACTTGAATGTAAACTTGTATTAGGAGAGAATTCTCCAAAGAGGGTTTTCTAGATAGACAGAGGCAGTTCAACTTCTCAAGTTAATTTTGATAAACAGAATCTACTAGTGGCCAGAGCGACGGGAGTAGCTAGGGGTTGCCAGCCAGTCCCTTTCTAATGATCAAGGCCCTGAGCAGCAGGATGCCACAGGATGCCCCTGCCATCTAGCTGGAAGCAGCGGAAGTCCCTCTGCATGACTGGTGTGGGAAAGAGGGTTGTCAGGATGAGAAAGCAAGCTTGCAGGGTGACGACAGGACCACCTCACCAATTCCCCACCTCCACCACCACAATAAGAACAAAACTGTAGGGCTCTAAAGAGAGGGGGTGGTTTATAAGTTTATTGAGCATTTACTAGGAGGTGACATGGCGATGACCTCTGTGCATGAGTTAGGTTCACTTTCTTGTAGCCTCCCGCCATAGAGACGCCTGTGCCCAGAAGTCAGCTCTCTGAGGAGACAGGCTACTGTGGCCCCAGTTTGAAGCATTTCTGTCCAAATGTCCTGAGCTCTCCAGCAGTCAAGTAGTGAATGGATACCATACTTACTATGGTTGATGAAAGGAGGCAGAGCTTGTCCTCCAGTTTTTTAGGGAAGAGAGGGAATAAAATAAAAGTGATTCAAGCTGGGCACGGTGGCTCACACCTGTGAGCCCAGCACTTTAGGAGGCTGAGGCAGGCAGATCACTTGAGGTCAGGAATTCAAGACCAGCCTAGCCAACAGAGTGAAACCTATCTCTATTAAAAATACAAAAATTACCCGGGCATGATGGTGGCGGCTGTAATCCCAGCTACTCGGGAAGCTGAGGCAGGAAAATTGCTTGAACCCGGGAGGTGGAGCTTGCAGTGAGCCAAGATCATGCCACTATACTCCAGCCTGGGTGACAGAGTGAAACTCTGATCTCAAAAAAAAAAAAAAAAAAAAAAAAAAGTTGTGCCAGGTGTGGTGGCTCACACCCGTAACACCAACACTTTGGGAGACTGAGGCAGGCAGATTGCTTGAGCTCAGGAGTTGAAGACCAGCCTGGGTAACATAGCGAAACCCCATCTCTACAAAAAAATTTTTTTAAATTAGCCAGGTGTGGTGTCACACTCCTGTGGTTCTAGTTACTCAGGAGGCTGAGGTGGGAGGATCACTTACCCCCCTGGGAGGTGGAGGCTGTAGTGAGCTGTGATTGTACCACTGCACTCCAGCCTGGGTGAGACCCTGTTTCAAAAAATAATAATAGTGGTTTATGAAAACAGAAATCCACTATTCAGTGAAATACAAAACAGTCTATGAAATGGGAAGATTGGGGGGCTCGCTTTCTGAGAGAAAGGAGTAATAACACTTGTCTAGTACATTCCAGTATACAAAGTGCCTGATATACATGATCTCCTTTAATCTTCACCCAATCCTGTAAAGTAGGCGTTAGATCCTCAGTTTACAAGGAAATAAGTGGAGGCTGAGAGCAGTCAGCTGCTGGCAGGTGGGTAGCTGGTTCCACAGCTCATCATTTTCCTGCTGCATCACAGCATGGTGCCCAGGAAGAGAGCTGTGGATGTCGTTGACTCACATGTGTCCCCGTTGGAGTGGGAGAACCCAGGGATGGGGAACAGCAAGCCAGGAACTCTGCAGGGTTTGTTTTTAAAACTCTGCTGGGCAGAGTGGAGGAGGAAAGAATCTAACCATATGACTTTTATAAAAATCCTTTCACTTTTCCCCTCCCCATTTGAAAACTCTTTTTAAGAGTAAATGTAGCTGAAACACACTGTGTCCAGCCATTTTCCTGTCTCCACATTCTTCCAGATGTGTGACAGGGGAGGGATTCTGCCCCATTCCAGTTGTGGGTCCCCTTGGAGTTTACATCACTTGTTTTTCAATTCTTGATTTTCTGTTCCCGTCTACCAAAACCCAGCATAGGCCTCAGTGTACACTTATGTTAAAACAAAAACTCACGTTTCTTAGCTGCAGGTGATGGCCTCAGTCATTTTAATACAGCCTGGAATGAGTTTGCTCATTACCCAATCACTTTCACAGTGAATGTTCAAACCCCAAAGCAAATATTTGCATCTCCTTGTCCATAAAGGAGAAAGCCGGGTTATAGGAGAAAGAGAGGGAAAGGTGCATGTCTGTTTGCACAGAGAGAAGCAATTTTGTCTACCTTTCAAGAATCAGTTATTAAACAGAAGGACCTCTTAGGATTTTGAGCTCTCCTAACAATGAAGGAAAAGCTCTCTTGAGTATACAAGTCCCACACTCATTACCTTTCAGTGGTGAGCCATCACCCACTAGAATTCGTTGAAGGAGGGAGTGTCAGAGATGTGCTTTAAAATTGTACTTTAGGCAGAAATTCTCTCCATGTTTGGACCTACAGATGTTGTGTACAGAACCGACGCGTGTCAGGGTCAGGAAGCTAGGAGGGTGAAGGCGCTTATGGAGACGGCCCTGTAGCGAATGAAACACGGGAGCCTCCGGGAATGTGCTTGTGTCACCAGCAGCAGGCATTTCCCTGTCCTCCCCACCCCCAGTCTCCACATCCCGAGCGGCCTCTTCCAGAAGCATGTCAGGGAGACAGACAGGTGCTGTCTCTCTCGTGCACCACATCCAAGTCCACCCACCGTGGACACAGTATGACTAAATGCTGGCCTTGAAGAGAAACCGTCTAGCCAGCTTGTCTGTTGTCCAGGTCCCTCAGTATCTCTGGTTTCCCTGCCCTGCATAATTTGAGCATTAGTGCTAAATACATCTGTCATTTTCCTCTCCCTGGAGACCGTGAAATGTCCAGACTTTTTCAGACTAGTGGAGGGAAGGAATGTTACGTAACTAAGTGGAGGCCTGGAACTGTCAGGACTTGATAGAGCTGGACCAGAGACCCTTCCGCCTCTACCTAGTGTGTCTGTCAGGCAGGCAGCAGCCATCAGTCCAAGAATGAGCCACGGCGGCAAGCACCGTGTGGAGAAGGGAACCCAGCTGAGTTATGAGTTTCAGACAGAAACTGGGGAGTTGGGACATCTCTGTGCCGGGCTTCATTGACACCATCACTCCCCACAGCAGCTCCTTGGGGCAGGGTGGTCACCTGTGCAGCCACCGTTACTCACAGTAGCATTCCATTCTTCACACTGCAACCCCTCAGCACTGTGGACCCTTCCAGGAAGGTGACAGGAGCCAGCAGACACATGGCATTCCCAGAGAGCCCCATCTTACCACAGACAGCCTTCCCTCCATACTTGTTTCCACAGTTTTACCCTCAGAAAAATGCTCTCTGCAGTCTTCCCTTCCTTCACCCCCACCCTAGGTTGGGGGTCAGTAACCAATGCTGAGGGCCAGGGACGGAGGAGGCACAGGCAAGCTAGGGACTCAGCACAGTGCTCCCCACCATCATCAGGGGCAGGTGCCAGGGTCAGCTGCAGCTCCTTCAGGGAGCAGGGTGTGGTGGGCCTGGATGGTCCCAGGGAGCAGAGGGAAGCAGGCAGCTGTCCCAGCCACAGGGGCTCCGAATGGCTTGAGCTTTTACTATGTGTTCTAGTGCAGGATACTGCAAACTGGTAAAGACGTCCACCGTGTGAAGAATGTATGTAAATTAAAGTTTCATGTAATGAAGGTTTCTACTTTTTGCAATTAAAAGTGTTGGTTGATAAGAACTTTCCTCTTGTTGGTATCATTCTTTAATTTCCAGTTTTCTCTTGTTTCCTCTTCTCCCATGACATGAGAGACTTCTAGCCATATCCTGCTCGTGAGGCCGGCCTGTGGGGCTCCTCTGTGCCCACCTGCCTTTGGTCTCTAACATTTGCATCCAGCACTGTCCTTGCATTCACAGCCTCCACTTTCTCCCCACCCCAGCCCTTACCCACAGCGGCTTCTCATCTGCTGTTCCCGTGAATTCTCAAATCTCAATCCTCCCCTGAGGGTGAATACCCTCCCGCTCCCCTGTCCATGCACTTCACCCAGAATGCAGGTGAGCCCCTGGACACCTTTTTCTTTTTCACCAGCTTGCTGCACACAGCCCAGATGCCCTCCCAGTGATGCCTCACCCACGGCGTCCTTGGTTCTTGCGGGACAGCCAGGCACACGTACAGGACTCCAGGCCCCTTGCTGGCTCACCCCAGCTGCCCCCAGATGACAGGCTGCCCTCAGCACTCAGTTAACTCGGTGGATATGAGTCAAGACTTTTTGTGTGTGTGCATTTTTTGACCATTTTATATGTGTATATGTTTATATGTGTGTATATATATATACAGTTTCATATAAATGCATAAATATGACCATTTCTTATATGCTGTTAAATGTCATCCTGTTTAATTTTTCTCTATTACTTGCTGCCCCTACCTCTTCCCCATGTTACCCCACCCCTTTTCCTAGTCGGGTAACTGTGATATATACACAGCCATACCCTGCTGTGTGTTTTTCCATAATTTCCTCCATGCTGTCTAATCATAAACAAGGTTTTGTTACTGCTGTACTGAAAATGGGATCATGTTACAGGCCCTTTCCGTGTCCTGCTTTTCTTACTCAACACTTCACAGAGTTCTCTTCAGGTCAGCTGGTAGAGCTCCAGTCCCTTCTTCTTAATGGTTAATACTCCGTGGCGTGGCTGTGCTGTCATTTATTCTGCTGTTGTCTTATTGATGGTATGTCACATCCTGTTAAATGATTATTCGGGTTGTAAGTCAAGAAGTCTGGAGTCCACTTTAAAATACTTGTTTTTACAGAA